TGCAACTCAACTGAATGTTGGGTCCACATATAATGAAAAAGCACCTGATTAAGTATATGATAAGAAAATTACGAATAAATGATTATCATTATATGTTGGGTTAAATAATACCATAATTTTACAAACTCAAAATTGATATTTTTTAAAAAAAAACTAATCATTGATATCACCAATTTAATTAGCTACTTTTTATGAAAATATATTTTTTGAACTTGAAAAATATTTTTAGAGTTGAAAAACCATTTTTATGTAGATCTTTAATATCATATATTCAAATTTTCCTAACAACTAACTCAATTTTAATAATATAAGTAATGGAAAAGAGTTTCTGTTCATCGGGTTCATCTGATTCTCTACTTTAGGAGAACGATTCAATTAATTTAAATACAGAAGAAAATATATTTGGTAAGTTAGATTGCAAACTTAAGAGTGCAGTGGAGATAGGGGAACTTATTCTATACAAGAAATAGGTGTCGACCAAATTGTTACAAAATTATTAAATTTGACACAATAAGCTTAGGATCAGCCAAAAAAAATAAAGGAAGTTTAAGTCAATTTATTAATCCATAAAGAAGCAATTACATATAATGAATATTATTAGAATCCCTAATATCAAAAACAACTAAGAAAATTAAGAAAACCAATCGTTTAATAAAGAAAAATTCAACAATCAAATAACATGCTTATTAGATAAGGGAATTGATTCAATTAGGATATAATAAATCTTATATATCAACTTTGAATGGATTATCAGAAAGTTAAATATATTATAAGTAATAACAAATTCCAAATAGTAATAAATTGCAAGCTTAATTTTATTTCAATGAAAATCATTTCAATTGGCTAAAGCATTATATTTAATCATCTTAAGTTGAAAATCTTTGGAACTCCCAATTAATTTTTACTGCTTTAAAAAATCATTTTAATTCGACGACATTAGCCTTGGAAGTAAAAAGTTTAGGGGGTTTCGAAACGCTGTTCTGAATATTTTAGCAAGTCCAGAAAAAATAAAGTTGAAGTAGATTGTATATGTATTAATTATCGTAAAACTTTTAGAATCACTAATTGTAATTTTTTTAAAGGCAATTTTTTGAAATTAAATGATTTCCAAATTTCAATCTAGGTCATCATTTTAGATGTGCAATATTTTTTACAAATTAGCAAATTCTTTATTTGATGTTTATTGAAAATACACTGCTTTCCATTCATTATTTGAAAGTTACCTTGTATTTAAAAAAAACAAGTAAAATTCTATCAGACCTTGAAATTAAATTGTAAAATCAAAATCAATTAAAAAATAGTTAAGGCAAGAATGTAATTCTTTGTTAAATGTAAGTAGCGATGAAAACACTGATTACAAGTAATTTTTCTAAAAATTTAAATACTATGACTTGAGACACAAAAAATTGAGTAAAATCCATAAATTTAAATCTGGAATAGATCCCAAAGTGATTTAATTGTTTTTAAACCTTATAAAAATAACTATATGTGATAATTACAAATATAAATTCTTTAATTTATAATAGGTATCGCCAATATAAATTTTTATTTAAGGGAGATAAAATATTCCTATTTTATCCACTCTACTGATAAATTATATTTTAATATAATAAACTTTTACTAATAACAGTTACATCCTATACAACCTATCAATTTATATTTAGGATGTTCAACTGAACAAGACTTATAAAAAGAAATTGTAAAAATTATTTAGAATTATATTTTTATATATGAAAGAAAACCATCAGATGCCATAATATCAAAAATACACATAATAGAAGGTTATTATAAAAAATAGTTTTTTTTTCATCATTTAAGAAATAAATCTATTCCTTTTTGAAATTTGCTAAAACTAATAATTGCAATTTCAATTAACTTGATTATATATAAATTGATGAAATAAAATTTACATATTTTTTCTACAAATGTAACTCAATATATGTTGGTTTCATTATAATAATTATTTTTATTATTATAAATTAAAACTTTATGAAATTTAGTAAGATCTAATCTCAATTGCAAAATATAATTATTTTTTTTTATTTAAATTTTATAGAGGTTAATTAAATAAAAGTTAAAATAAATTCCGAAAAAATTTGATTGTTATGAGATCATTTTAAAGAAACTATTGTAT